CCATCCTCGCCCCCCTCGGCAAGTGAGGCTGATAGGCTGCGCTGGAGCTCGGAAAGGTTTACCGACCCTCGGAGTAGGAGTGGGAGGGACAGGAGGACGTCGAAGAAGAGGACGATGAAGAGGATGTGTGGGGAACGGGGAAGTGGGAGTACGATGAGGTAGTCGGAAAAGATGAGGATGAGCAGCAGCAGTAGTAGCGGGAACAGGCGGGATAGGCAGGAGTATATGTAATCCATCCACTATGTTGACGTGGTATGTGCATTACTAGCCAGGCCTAGCATCACCACGTTCGCGACTCCAAATCCAAGGCAGCCAGGAGGGCAGTTGGCTCTGCCCACACGAGAAGCACTCGCCTTGCCTGTTTGACGGTTGATGGATTTCGTTTCGGGGGCCCGCGGCACGCGGCTTCGCCATCACAGGGGCTATCTGCCGCGCCGCACTTCTTGTTTTGCGAAGCAAGTATAGTTGGCAGTTGGGCTTCGTGGGGTATTCGGATGCGGCGCATTGATTTCCCTCTTTTCAGGCCACCGCGCACGGTATGTTCTTACCTGGTGCGTTCCAAAACGGGCCTTGCCTTCAAGGATCGAAGGATTCGTCATCCCTTCCACGGCAGAAGGCGGCGGAAGGGCGGCGGAAGGTCGGCGCAAGTAACACGAGGCCGCCGCGAAGGGCGGCGGAAGGTGGCGGAAGTGAAGCTTGCGCCCATTTTGGGGTTCAGGGTTTCCGAAATCGCGGGTCGACTCGCGCCGGGTCTCCGGTTTGCATGACGACGGCTTGATTCCCACGGCGGTTGAGGCCGAGCAGTGTGAAGCTGTATTGTAGTGGCCTCCGGCCAGTGCCGCCGATCCAGGGCGCTCCGCAAGATGATGATACGACAATGACGACGACGACGACGACGACGACGACGACGACGACGACGACGACGACGACGACGACGACGACGACGACGACGAGGACGACGACGACGACGACGACGACGACGACGACGACGACGACGACGACGACGGGGGGGGAGCTGGGTTGCAGGGGGAGGGTCTGTTCTCCAGGGGGGGTCCGCTCGGTAATGGGAGGGACTGCAGGGGAGAGGGCAGGGAAGGGGTCTGCTCTGCAGGGGGGGTCCGCTCGGCAGAGGAAGGGACTGCAAGGGAGAGGGTTGGTCCGCTCTGAAGAGGGGGGGCTGCAGGAGGGAAGTCTGCTCTGCAGGGGGGGGGGAGTGCAGGGGTGGGGGGGGTCCGCGTGCAGGGGGGGGCTGCGCGTGGCGGGATCGCTCTGCAGGGGGGGAAGGGCTGGGCCGCAGGGAGGGGGGGGCTGCGCGTGGCGGGGATCCGCTCTGCAGCGGGGGGGGAAAGGGCTGGGCCGCAGGGAGGGGGGGGGGTCGCTCTGCAGGGGGGGGGTCCGTCTGGGGAGGTGAGGGGCTGCAGGGGGGGGGTCTGCTCTGCAGACGGGGGGGGTGGCAGCGGGGGGGAGGGGGGGGTGGTCGCTCTGAGGGGTGGGGGGGGGGGGCAGGAGGAGGTCCGCTCTGCAGGGGGGGAGGGGGGGGGCAGAGGGGGGGGTCCGCTCTGGGAGGAGGGGGGGCTGCAGGAGGGCGGGTCTGCTCTGCAGAGGGGGGGGAGCAGGGAGGAGGGGGGGGGAGGGGGGGGGGGGGGGCCTGCAGGGAGAAGGTCCGCTCTGCAGGGTGGGGGGGGTGGTTGTGCGTTGCTCTGCAGGGGGGGGGGTGCAGGAGGGGGGGGGGGGTCGCTCTGCAGTGGGGCGGGGGGGCTGCAGGGGCGGGGTCGCTCTGCAGGTGGGGAGGGGGGGGGGGGGGGCTGCAGGAAGGGGGAGGGGGCGTTCTGCAGGGGATGGGAGGTTCCGCTCTGGGAGGGGGGGGGAGGGGCGAAGCACTGAATTAGGTCGGAATTAGGTCGGAAATGAGGTCCCCCCCCCCGCAGAGCGAGGCTTGAGCGAGCTCAAGCCCACGCTCTCAGAAACTCACACGCCGGATCGGCGGATTTTCGCGCTCCAACGTCTTCTTGCAAAGATACAGGAAACAGAAGGGGCCACTTTCCGCGCGGCCCTCCGATCCCGACTCCAGCGCCCGAGTCGATTGTGCTCCTGCGTCGCTCTTCCGAGCCGGGCCCTTCGCCGGCCGCCGTCGATTCTGCTGTCCGCCAGCTCGTGGGCAGGCGGCCCCGAGCTCGCAGGGCCGAGCCCGCCTCGCGGGCAGCCCCAAATCCCTTGGCCCGCCACCTGAAGCAAAAGTGTCTTCAGGCTTCTCGCCGTCTGTTTGGCCTCCCGGCTCGCTTCCCGAAGGCGCCCCTGGATGACCAGAACCGTCCCCAGGGGACCGCCCCCTGGTGTCCAGGGCATGTTTTTGGTCTCGGGGCCCCGTTTACACAAGGATCCTTGTTCCTCAGGACCCCCCCTTTCTACCACGGGATGCAAGGAAGAGAACGACCCCCTTCCGGCAGAAGACCCTGAACAGCTTTCACACAGTCCAACGGGGGGGCACGGTGATGGCCCGAGGGGGCCACAGTGGGGGCCACGATGAGGGGCCACGATGCGGGGCCACGGGCCCGTGCTCCCTCACTCAGCGTCAGAAGCAATTTGCAGGACCCTTGCAAACAAGCTGCCCAGAGCACAACCACACCAAAAATCCCATGCCAGCCCAGACCTCCGACCGCCCGGCTGCTTCCACACCCGGGGGGCCTTGGGGCGCCCTTTTGGGCGCGGGTAGGAGAGGGGTGTAAAGAATCGCTCCAGAGCGTTCCAGAAGCTCTCGGGGCGTTCTGGTGCGCTAGCCGCGGCGCCCGATACATCCCAAGTGGGATGTTGCTGGAAGCGCCCCTGGCCCAAGGTGCCCCACCTTTTCGCTCCATTTTGGAGCCTCTGGGGCCCTCTGGGCCTCGTGAGGGGCGCTCCTGGAGGCCGCGGGGGCCTCCGTGGAAAGTCTGGGGGCTCCTCATGGGCCACAGGCACTTCTAGCAACGCCCGATCCAGAACCGCCAGATACAGTCGGGGCCCTGAAGAAGGAACCCTTTTCGTTGGGGAGGGGCTCCGTGTTCCTTGGTTTTCCTCAGGTTTGCCTTAGGTTTTCCTTAGGTCTTCGATGGGAAATCGAATTGTAACTGATGGGAAAAAAGGGGCCTCGTTCCTCATTTAGCGTTCATTAGGTCAACGCCCCGATTGTATCCCCGGCGTGTCCTGGTCCGATTCTGTCCCGGCCCTGGCCCCGCCTCCCTCCGCAGGGGAGCCCACGCGGGCCCGACTCGCCGGCACCGGCCTCTCCGATCTCTTGGGGGTGTGCCGCCCCCGTGCGGGCCCGCCGGGGGGGGGCCCGCGGAGGGCCGTGCCCGCTGCGTGCGGGGCCGAACGCTCCGCGACAGAACGGCGCCCACAGCGCTGCCCCGGCACGCATTGGTCGTCGTTCTCGTCGACGTCGTCGTCGTCGTCGTCGTCGTCGTCGTCGTCGTCGTCGTCGTCGTCGTCGTCGTCGTCGACGCCGTCGTCGTCGTCGTCGTCGTCGTCGTCGTCGTCGTCGTCGTCGTCGTCGTCGTCGTCATTGTCGTTGTCGTCGTCGCCAGACGGGGACACACGACGCACCCATTCGGGGGAGGGAGAGCTATGGGTGCGTGTTGTCGGATGGGGGCCCCCGCTCGAACGGGAGCCCCCCTTTGCGTCCGACAACCCGCACCCATACCTATAGCAAGGCCTCCTCCCTCCGACCCGCCTATTGGTATGCGTGTGTGCCGTTCGTTCGTCACACCAGGGGTCTCGTGACGGGGGCAGGTCCCCCTCTCAGGGGCAGCGTTTTGGGGGGATCGGGCGGTAGCGTCGCCACTCCTCGGCTCGTGCTTGCTCGTGCCTCTGTGCCTCCGCTTGCTTCTGCCGCCGCGCGCGGCCCCGCCTCACGCTGCGGACCAGTGTGGCCCCGGAGCTTGCCCGAGAGGGAAGGTCGACTCTCTGGGGGGACCCAGACCTCGGAGAGAGCGCGTTTCACGGGTGCCTGCCTTGGGGAACATTCGGCAGCGCGTTTTGAACCGGGGGGTGCCCCCCCCCCCCCCTTTTCGGCGCCGCCGGCGCCGGCGCTGGCGGCCGCCAGCAGCGCCGACGGCGGGGACGCAGCGACGATGACCAGAGGCAGCCCAAGGGGACGCGGCGACGCGGCGACGACGACCACCACCACAACCACAAATCACCACCACCACCACCGCCGCCACCACCACCACCACCACCACCACTTCCACAAACCACCACCACCACCACAACCCACCACCACCACCACCACCACCACCACCACCACCACCACCACCACCACAAACCACCACCACACCACCACCAAACCACCACCAGCACCACCACCAGCACCACGAACCACCACCACACCACCACCAAACCACCACCGCCACCACCACCACCACCACCGAACGCCACAACCACCACCACCACCACCACAACAAACCACCACACCATCACCACCAACACTTCCACCACCGCCACCGCCACAACCACAACCCACCACCCACCACCACCACCACCGTCGTCGTCGTCGTCGACCCGCCGCCTCCACCCGCCGCCGCAGGCGCCGGCGCCGGCCTAAAAAGGAAATCGTCGTCCCCGCCGCCGCCGCCAGCCAGCCGCCGCCGACCCAAGCGCCGGCCCCAGGGGAGGGAACTTAGGGGAGGAAGGGATTCGAACCCACCCCCGTCACAGGAGGGGGGGGGCTTAAACCCCCCCTCCATCCAGGGAGGGGGGGTCCGGTTCCAACCCCCCCCCCCTCCAAGCGACCACGGAACGCGCTCTTTCAGACCTCGACGTCGTGATTTGTTCACAGCGTCGGTCCCCTGAGGTGTGGACCCTTCCTTGGACCATCTTTTCATCCTGAGTCTTTGCTTGGCGATCCCGAGGCCTGGCAAGTGCCCTTGGAGGCCGAAAACAGCGGAATACCTCCCATCATGTTTTTCCGCAGCGTGAGGGGTTCTGGGAAGATGCAGCGGGGCGCGCGGGGCGCGCGCGTGGCCGAGGCCCTGGCCATCCTGGAGCGAGCCTTCCCGCCGCCGCCGGGCGGTGCCGAGTAGGTCCTGCCCGCGCCGCAGAGGGGCGCACGGGCTCGCCCCTCGCCCGACCCCCTCGTTGAGGCCTCGCTCCTCCACGGGCCCAGGCACCCGCCCAAGAGGGGAGATGGATTCCTCCTCCTCCTCCTCCTCCTTCTCCTCTCCTCCTCCTCCTCCTCATCCTCGCCTTACGTTTCTTGGCAGCCTGCTCGAGTGCTTCACAATTTCTGATTGGCTTGCTCTCGTGTTTGTTGGAGGTGCTGCCGAACGCCCGTCACGTAGGCTGTGGCATTGTCGTGGCACGACTTCAAGAGCTGCCTCTTGACCTCCGCGATCTCGTTCTTGGCGTCCTGATCGTAAGCGTCGGGGTCGTCGTCATTCAATTCATCGGCAATGCCCAGGCTGTCGATGTCGTCTTGGTTCAAGTCCCAGGTGGTCTGCACTAGGTTCATTATTTTCGGGTGTTGCTCTTTCTCCTTCATTTTGGAGTTTGGCTTGATTCCTGTGATGCCCTCAACTGGTTTCTCCGCTACGATGACTGCATTTGCGCATTCCATCATGTCACGTAGGTGTTATGCTCGGCAAGCTGCTTGCGTGTGACCGTCACCTTCTCGTAGGCGCTCTCGTACTTCGCGCTGGCTTTCTCGAGCATGGATGCTGTTGTGGAGCTGCCTTGCGCGGTTCTGCGCGGGCTCCTCCGCCTGCGGGGCGAGGCCTCCGGCAACTGTCTTGAGCTGCTCGGTGGGGCCAGCGGCTGTGCCCGTGGAGGTTACTGGTTGTCCCGCATGCCCGAGCCTTTGTCTGTTTTTTTTTGTCTGGGTGGTGCGGGGCGTTGTCAGACTATGTTGCCGCAGCTACAGGTCCAATCCCAGGATGGCCAGTCTTTTTCGCAACGCCATCCACCACAATTCTTGCACGCCGACCAGCTCCAGCTCTGGGTTGAGTTCTGGGCGCGCTTGCCGCCCTTGTCGTTGGTGTCCCTGCCCTTGCCTCTGTTGTTGCTGTAGCTACTATAGCCGTTGTAGCCACCTTTGTAGCTGCTGCGTCCCAGTGTGCCGTATGAGTGCTGGTCGCGCTGGTACTTCCGAGCGCTGTGGTGCTGGCTGAGCGTGTGCGCTGCGTTCAGCACTTTGACCAGAGTCCTTGCCTCCAACCTGCGCTGGCGGTCTCGCCGTTGTCAGGCTGGCTCGGGAGGCGTCGCGCCTGCACTGGCGCCGCAGGCGCCTCAGCAGCGCCGCGGCGGCTGCCGACGGCAGGAGCTGCGCGTGGGCACGGCCCCTGCGACCACAGTTGGTCTCACGGCTCGCCCCACGGGCAGCCCAGAAAAAAAACAACTATTTCGACTTGGTGCCGATGTGCTGGCACCTCCACGGCTTTACGACGTTGGCCCCATTCTTGGCCAGCTGCCAGCACCCGTGGATCTTTATGGGCGACCGGAATGCACCCCCACAGAGACTATGGGTTTCAGGATGGCCAGAGATCATGGGAGGCACCACCGCTACGATCCCAGCATTGCTGAAATTCCCGTGTAGGTCTGGTGGAATCGTATCAAATCAGTGCCCCCTTGTGAGTTCGAGTTCGATCCGAACGCATTTTTAACGGTTCGCATATTTCAGTTTGCGGACCCCGCGAAGCAGCCAAACAGGAAATTCACTACCGGAGAGAACTTGGCGCCCGCTCCTCATGCTCCTTGAGCTGTTCCTGTTCCTCCTTTTCCTCCTGCTCCTGCTCCTCCTGCTGCTCTTCTTCGTCACAAGTTCGGCGGCATGAGTCTTTTTATCCTTGCCAAGGTTTGGCGCGTTCGCCTTCCGACCTCTCCGAGGCGCTGTCTTATCTGATCGTCCTCCTCTTCGTTTTCCTCCTTCTCCTCTCCTGTTCTCCTCTTAGGGAAGGGGGAGAGAGAGAGGGAAGGAGGAGGACCAAGATATCCGCAGGAGGGGAGAGGAGGGGAGAGGGGAAGAAGTGGAGGAGGAGGAGGAGGAGGATGAGGAGGAGGAGGAGAAGGAGGAGGAGAAGGAGGAGGAGAAGAAGGAGGAGGAGGGAGCAGGGAGGAAGAGGAAGAGGAGGAGGAGGAGGAGGAGGAAGAGGAGGAGGAAATTAATGAGGACGAGGAGGAGAAGAAAGAGGAGGAGGCGGAGGCAGAAGGAGGAGGAGGAGGAGGAGGAGAAGGAGGAGGAGAGGAGGGAGGAGGGGGGGAGGAAAGGAGAGAAGGAGGAGGAGGAGGAGGATGGAAGAAGGAGGAGGAGGAGGAGGAGGAGGAGGAGGAGAGGAAAAGGAGGAGAAGGAGCGCGGAGGTGGAGGAGGGGAATGAGGAGGAGGAGAAGAGCTAGGAGGTCGGAGGAGGTTGGGAGGAGGAGGCAGAGGAGGAGGAGGAGGAGGAGGAGAGCGAGGAGGAGGAGGAGGAGGAGGAGGCGGAGGGAGTGAGGGGAGGGGAGGAAGAGAAGGAGGAGGAGGAGGTGGAGGAGAAGGATGGGAGGTGGACGAGGGAGGAGAGGAGGTTAGGAAGTTGGAGGAGGTTTCAATGATGATGATGATGACGACTACGACGTTGACTGATGATGCATAATGATGATGATCGATGATGTGTCTCCGATGTGAATGATGATGATGATGCATGATGTATTTGATGGATGTGAATGCATAGAGGAATGATGATGAGATGATGATGTGATCGCAATGATGATGACTGATGTGATGATCTGCTTGATGATGATGTGATGATGATGATGATGATGATGATGATGATGATGCATGTGATGCTATGTGATGATGATGATGATGATGTTGGATGATGTGATGTTGATGATGATGGTTGTATGATGATTGGATGATGTATGATGATTGATGATGATGATGAAGATGATTGATGATGATGATGCTGATGATGCTGAGATGATGATGATGATGATGAGTCGACCCGATGATGATGATGATGATGATGTGATGATGCTATGATGATGATGATGTTGATGAGCTGTTGCTGATTGCTGATGTGATGATGAGATGATGATGATGATGAAGATAGATGTGATGATGTTGCTGCTGCTGATGCTGATGCTGATGCTGATGCTGATGATGCTGATGATGATGATGATGATGATGATGATGCTGATGATGATGATGATGATGATGATGATGATGATGATGATGATGATGATGATGATGATGATGATGATGATGATGATGATGATGATGATGGCCCGTTCTCGAACAATAATCGCTGGGGCGTTGAAGGCCGCGCGGGTTCTCCGAAACCGCCCCGGCTCAAGCCTTTTCTGTGTGGGCCTCAGGTGGCCGAGCCCCCTTCGGGGCCCGCATGCGCGTTGCTGCCCGCGGGGGAGGGCTGATCGCCTTCCACCTCCTCGCCGCCTGGGTGGCGCGGCGGTGGGCGCCGCTTCCTGCGGCGCTGCCCGTGCCGGAGCCGCCGCGGGCGGCACCGGCGCCCGCTCCGCCGGCGCGGAGCTGCCCGGCGGCCGCGCCGCCCGCCCCCGCGCAGGTCTCGGACCTCTGCGCGGAGATCGCCAGGTGCCTGCCGGCGGCCCCGCTCCCGGCCTGGGAGGTCTGCCCGGATCCCTGCCCGGCCTGCCCCAAGCCGGAGGAGGGTGGCTTCAAGTGGGGCATCGAGCTCGGCGTCGGGTTCTTCACCCTCCTGCTCTGGGAGGCCGTCACTATTTGCGGGGCTGCGTTTCGCAGCCAGGTGCGGCGCCTGCTCTCAGGCGCGCGGGCGGCTGGTCCCCCAGCGGTGCCCGCGGCTCTGGAGGACGGCAGCGCGTCCCCTGTCAATAGCGCCCAGGTGGATCGACGCTTTCCAGGTGGCAAGGGTCGGCTGGTGGCTGCCTGATGAATGTCGGCGATGAGCTGCTGGTCTGCTATGACGTTCCTGGCGCTCCTCTGCTCCATCGCCGCATCGTTGTCCGTGTCAGCCAGGTGCAGCCGATGCACGCCGCCGTGGTCTCGCCCGACTTCGACCTGTTCATTGAGCACTTCACGGACGACAACGACGACATCGCCGCCTGGTACCGATGCGGACCTGGCGGGGCAGTGCCGGCAGGTTTGGGCGGGGTGGCGCTGTACGACTTCCAGCGGCCGCTCACAGCCCAGGAGTTCTTCAACCTCGTCCCGAGGGCCGAGGGTCTCGTCCGCGAGCACGACAGGCAGCTCGCCGCCGCGGCCGGCCCTGGCGCTGCCGGCGCCCACGGAGCGGTGGTCCCGCTTGGGCCCCCGGCCGCAGGCCAGGCCGCCGCGCCCCCGGCTGGTGGCGGCGCGCCCGTGCTGGGTGTCGGTGCTGGAGCGGCCGGCGGCCTGGCTGCGCTCCTGGGCGCTCGCCCCCCCGGTGGTGGCGGAGCTCACGGCCCGCCGGCGGCTGCCGGCGCGCCCGCCCCCTGCGCTGGCCGCCCCCCCGCCGGCTGCAGCCCCCGCCGCCGCCGCTGGCGCGGCCCCGGCAGACGGAGCCGCCGGGCACGCCGGGCTCGCTGCTGCGCTGGCGGGGCCCGGCGCCCCTGGGCAAGGCGCTGCCGCTGCGGGGGCCGCGCCGGGCCTCGCCGACGCCGGGGCCGCCGGCAGTGTGGCCGACGACTGCAGGACGCTGGCCGTCGCCTACGACATCAACGGGAAACGGCGCAGGTCCTTCGCAGCGGGCGTCGCCCTCTTGGCTCCGACCATGTGGGGGGACTGGCCCATCCCGGGCCCTCGCACAGCGCACTGGGTGGCGACCTTCATGCTGGAGAACGGCGGCAGCGCTATGGGCCATCATGTGAAGTGGAAGTCTAACATACGTCGGGGCCTCGAGGACGTCACGGTCTCGAACCACCTGGAGCACAGCAAGATCTTCGAGGCGGCGCTGTGCTACGACCAGCTGGAGATCAGCAACCTCGCCTGCCTGGAGCTCGTCGGTCGTCAGCTTCAGGCATGCGAGGAGATCCACCGCGACCTGCTCTTCGGCACGAAGAAGGGCGAGTCAGACGGCCACGACGAGTACTACTACTTCACAGGGATGGCGTCGACCCGTGGCCTCATGGTGGCGC